TAAAGCCTTTAGCATAGGATTCAATGTCTTTGCTTTTATTCTAAGTCCTACCATCATCCTGACTCCTACATCTAGATGGATGATCAGTCTTATACGGTTAAAGCCTTTAGCATAGGATTCAATGTCTTTGCTTTTATTCTATATCCTACCATCATCCTGACTCCTACATCTAGATGGATGATCAGTCTTATACAGGCATCTTCATTCCTTGACCTTCATATCCAGAGACTTTCATAACACTTATTCCACCTATGGAAGTAGCAGCCAAGAAATCACATAACACACTGCACTAAACAAATCTTCTGCAAAAGACCTCTTTAAAGTATTAAAGAGCAAAGAGGCCACTTTAAGGACTAAGGAGCGCCTGAACCAAGCCAATGGTATTTTCAATCGCTTCATGTGATGGCTGGGCGTAAATAAGAACTGATGCATTTGAATTTTGATGCCGATGAATAATACTGAATATACCATGGACTGCCAGAGAAGAAACCAAATCTGCCTTGGAAAAAGTTAAGTCAGAATGCTCTTTAGAAGCAAGGATGGCAAGATTTTATCGCATGTACTTTGGAGGTGTCATCAAGTGGGACCATTCCCTGGAGGAAACCATCATGCTTGGTAAAGTAGAGGTTCAGTGAAAAACAGGAAGACCCTCTAGGAGATGGATTGACATAGTGGCAGCAACAATGGGCTCAAATATAACAATTGTGAGGATGTCATAAAACATGGTTCATTTTGCTCGGCATCAGAACCAACTCAATGGCACCTGAAAACAATGGCATGGTCATAGTCTTGACTTTGGCATCCACTGGAAATGCCCATCTCTGAAATAGTAAGGCCGTACATCTTACTTTTTGACAATTACCTTTAGTCTTTTTAAGTCTTATTTAGTTAACTGCTCTATACTTGTTTTCTGGATACTGTTGATGCCTCTGGTACCTTGTTTATTGTTATCATTTATCTGCCCTTTCTTCACTTCACTTTCTTCCCTAACCAGATTATTCTTTCACGTCAACCATTTTCTTGCCAATATTGTTATATCTTTTTGTTATATCTATTGCTCGCTGCCCTTTTACTTGGCAAGACCCGAATTCTGTCTACTTTAATCATGCCTGTACCTTTATTTTAGAATGCTATGAGAGAAAAATCACACAATAATGGAGATGAGAGACTTTGAAGATGGTCTGTCACCAACCACAAGTGTTTCCTTACATTTCACATGTACCTTACATTTCCAAAATATATTCTCTTCTATTTTCAGCAATGTAAATTTTCAACTTTCTACATCTAGGTTCCTCTCCATCCCCTCTCCCACTCTCATCAGATGATGTTGCCTTCTACGTCCCAGAGAAAATAGGGATCACTGGGAACTAGTTCAATTTTTTTGTGATGAAAATCTACACATTTACCTTTATCTGTACTCATAACCCTTCCTCTTTTGATGGAAAAGGGACCCTTCCTCTAGTTTAAGTTCACTTGTTCTTTCCATACTTAGAATCCAAATTTTTGCATTATCCAGTGATTTGATAATGTGCTTTGATAGTAGAATGACAAGTTTAGATGCCTGGTTAAATGGTGAATCACCATCCACCTACAGTTTCAGTCTGCCCATAGCCTTCATAGATGTCCAACTGAGTGACACGCTTCCAGTCCTCAATCATCTCAGGGCTGATGGATCCTCCTGCAGCCACACAATGCTTCAGACTCTTGAACCTATAGCTGGAGAGTCATCAAAAGTGGTTCTCAGACTTGGTGAATAGCTCTACCAATGACAGATTTTAAGGAAGTCTGATTCAAGAAGAATTTTATAAAAATGATAAGATATTGTCAAATGTAGGAGTTCTAGATTCACACTGTAGGATAAGCACTGGACCAGAAGGTCCATTAGAACCACAAGGTTGGCAGTTCAAACTCACTAGCCACTCCTGGGAAACCCTGTGTTGTTATGTGCTGTGGAGTTGGTTCCAACTCATAGTGACCCTGTACAGGGTTTCCGATGCTATAAATCTTTACGGGAGCAGATAACCTCACATTTCTCCCACAGAACAGCTGGTGGTTTTGAACTGCTGACCCTGAGGTTAGCAACCCGATTCGTAACCATTACACTACCAGAGCTCCTTGGGAAACCCTATAGAGGGTCGCTATAAGTTGGAAACAACTTGATAGCACTTAACAATTAAGTTGTAGACTTCTAGTGTGGTACTGAAGGATCAGCACTGGACTGTGAACCACAAGGTCAGCAGTTCGAACCTTTTACAGTGTTGCTGTGAGTCAGAACTGACTCAACAACACTTAACAACAATATCCACAATTAAACTATGGAGTCCTGGTGTGGTACCATAGGATAAGTATTGGACTGCTAGGAGAAGATTGATGCTAAGACACATGGAGACCTCCAAGGAATGCTGGGCCCAAAGATGTTGAAAGGGGTCAAGAATCTTCCTCCAGAGCCAAAAGAGAGAGAACATTCCCCTAGACCTGGTGTCCTAAATTCCTACTGCTAGCTTCCCAAACTCTGAGAGAAGACAGATACTATCTATAAAATCTCTGCACAGTCTTAAAATATTTTTATAGGTGTATATATGCCGCTGGTAGTTTCAAACTGCTGACCTTGCGGTTCACAGCCCGATTCATAACCACTATGCTACCAGAGCGCTCTCTCTCTCTCTCTCTCTCTCTCTCTATATATATATATATGTATATGTGTATGTGTATGTGTATATATATATATATATATATAGTCAACAGTTTGAAACTACCAGCTGTTCCGCAGGAGAAAGATGAGGTTTTCTGCTCCTGTAAAGATTTACAGCCTTGGAAACCCTATAGAGGGTTGCTGTGAGTCGGAACTGACTCCATGATTTTTAACCACCACCACCACCATGTAAAGAAATAAACTTATTTTAAAAAGGCTTAGAAGGGTCTATAGAGGCAGTCTTTGTTTTTAACATTTATTTATCTATTTTTGCCGGATAATGTTTTTTTCTTTAAATGTTTTAACAACAGTCTTATTTATGGGTGGCGATGGACTCTCTCTGGAGAGATCCTTTCTTACCTAGTGAAATACTGGTGTTGAAGAAGTTCCTGATACATCCTTTGATTTCCAGAGAGAGTGGTGATGGGAAACCTAGACAGGACCTGGGTCCCAAGAAAGAAAACACAAAGAAACCTGTGAGTGAAGACGGGAAACACGGCAAGATGGGGGAAAGGATCCAGGCTAAAGAGACTAGGATCCCCAACCTCAAGGCTGAGGGAAGTTCTGTACCTTATGGACTTAGTGATTTCTCACTGTCCAAACATGGGTCTTGGAAGAAAGCTTTACCTTCCTGGGTCTAAAGGAGCCCTGGTGGCATAGTGGATTACATATTGGGCTGCTAACTGCAAGGTCAGCAGTTCAGATTCACCAGCCTCTCCACTGGAGAAAGATGGTGCTTTCTGCTCCCATTAAGATTTATAGCCTCAGAAACCCTATACAAGGTTGCTATGAGTTGGCGCCTACTCCATAGCACACAATCAACCACCACCACTTGGGGCTAGGAGCTAGCATGTTAATGACCAGCTAACCGAACAGATGACCAGTTAAACGTTTACTTCTTGATTCTAGAAGTCCCTTGCTTCAATCTTTGTTGCTTTGAATAATATGCCTGCATGTTAGTAGTAAAACTTTGGATTGTGGAGGCAGAGTAGTACAGCAATTTAAAGATTGTGCTCTAAAGTCTAATCGATTGCTCTGGCTAATTACTTAAGACCATTCCGCCTCAATTTCCCCAGTTCCCTCTTTACAGGATTTCATGGGGAAAGGATGTGAAATAATGCATAGGAAGTACCAGTATGTGATTAATAAACGGTTTGTTGTTGATAAGTGCTATCAAGTCAGTTCCAACTCATAGCGTCCCTAGGTTTCCAAGGAGCAGCTGGGGGATTTGGACTATCAACCATGTGATTTGCACCCCAGTGCTTCTCTTACAGCACCACACCAGGACTACCAATACATGGTAACTGATATTTTTACCATCATTATAATTATTGCTGTTTACAAATCTTTTCAGTGATACACACACATGAAGCATCCAAGTCAGGGATTATGGGAATGAGAGAGCATGGCTCTCAGAAGTGGGGAGAACATTGTCAAGTCAGGAGCACCTTCCAGATTTAATTCTTGGTTCACCACATTTGGAGCATTACTCACTGGAGCATTGCTAATGTTTCCCCTCTGACCTTTACCCCAGTCTACAGAGGGAATTCATCTCACGTTTAAAACAGTCTCCGGGCAGAAGCTTGGCATGTGATACAAAAACACACAGGCTCCTTGGAGCCAAGCTCCCAAGACATTGCTCAGAGATAGAGTTCCGTCAAAGGGATTCCCCAGACTCCACAAGACTTCTGTCGACCGTAGCTCCATCCACTGTCTAATGAGAAAGAAGAAAAACACCGGAATTTGCTCCTGTTGGTAATAGCAGTAACACTTTTTAGCTGTTTGTTGTTGTTGTTATGTGCCATGGAGTCGGTTCTGACCCATAGCAACCCTGCACAGGGTTTCCAAGGCTGCAAATCTTTACAGGAGCAGAAAGCCTCATTTTTCTCCCACGGAACTGCTGGTAGTTTCAAACTGCCGACCTTGAGGTTAGCAGCCTGATTTGTAACCACTACGCTACCAGAGCTTTTTAGCTGTTTAGTGATTGACATTAACTAAAAGGCTGGTGGTTCAAACCCACTCAGAGGCACCTTGGAAGAAAGTCCTGGCAACTTGCTTCTGAAAGGTCACAGACTTGAAAACTATGGAGCACTTCTACTCTGCATACATGAGATAACCATGGGCTAAAATGGTCTCAATGGCAACTAATAACAAAACACAAGTTATCAAGCGCTTACCGTGTGCCAGGATAAGTCAAAAAGTCTTTTTACAAAATGAAAAAAAAAAACTTTATTAAATAAAAACATACAAATATGAAGCTATTGTTTGTTTTTGTTTTTTTTAAAAAAACATATCCTCCATCTAAGTCTGTACATGGAGTTCTGGTGTGGCGTTGTGGGTTAATGCACTGGACTGCAAAGTCAGTTTAATCTACAAGGTCGGTGGTTCAAGTTCACCAGCCACTCCTTAGAAACCCTATACAGGGTCGCTGTGGGTCAGAACTGACTCGACAGCATTTAACAAGTCTATATACACTTCTGAAGGTGTCTCCATTTCTTTAATGCTTCCTTGGGAGTCCTGGTATGGTTCTGTAGGATAAACACTGGACTACTAACTGCAAGGACGTTGTTTCAAACCCCAGCCACTCCTCAGAAACCCTATACAGGGTCACTATGAGTTGGAACCAACTTAATAGCACCTAACAACAACAACAACAACAACCCTTTCTTGAAGAATTCTGAGGCCTCTGATTTGTCTCAGGTCAAAACAGCTGTTTTGGGTCCCTCAAATTGTCTTCCTTTTAAATATTCTTTGAATTTGGGCAACAAAAGGAAGTTTGAATGGACAATATCCGAAGTATGAGAGATGAGGTTTCGCCAGCCTCGCTTCCAATGAGCTCTCTGGCTGCACTTCTTCCAACACAGATCTCTTGGTTCTTTTGGCAGCCCATGGCACTTTCCATATTCTCCTCCAACACCATAACTCAAAGTGAATCATGCCATTATACAATTTATCAATGAAGTACAAAGCACTGCCAGTTGAAGGTGGGTATGCTATTGGTTGTAAGGCACTCTGATTTTAAGAGAGAAGGAAGTGAGAAGTGTGCACATGGTTTTTGTTGTTAGGTGCCTTGGAGTTGATTTCTGACTTATAATTACTGTACACACGGCAGAATGAAACACTTTCAGGTCCTGTGCCATTCTCCTAGTCTTTGTTAAACTTGAGCCCGTTACTGCTGCCACTGTGCCAATCCATCTTGTTGGGGCTCTTCCTGTTTTCGCTTACCCTTCACTTTATCAAGACTGATGTCCTTTTCCAGGAACTGGTCCCTCATGATAATATGTCTGAAGTATGAGAAATGAAGTCTCGCCATCGTGGCTTCCAAGAAGCATTCTGATTGTATTTCGTCCAGTACTTTTTCATTCGTCTAGCAGTCCATGGACTTTAAATATTCTCTTCCAGCACCATAACTCAAATGCATCAATTCTTCTATGATCTTCCTTGTTCATTGTCCAATGTTCACATACCTATGAGGCTACTGAAAATACTTTTACTTGGGTCAGGTGTACTGTAGTCTTCAAGCTGACATCTTTGCTCTTGAACAATTTAAAGTAGCAAATTTCCCTAATGCATTATGTTATTTGATTTCTTGAATGCTACTTCCATGAGTGTTGATGGTGGATCAAAGCAAATTTATGTCTTTGACAACTTCAATCTTTTCTACATTTATCTTGATGTCATTTATTGGTCCAGTGGTGAGGATTTTTGTTTTCTTTACATTGAGGTATAACGCATACTGAAGGCTGTGGTCTTTGATATTCATCAGTAAGTATTTTAAGTCCTTTTCATTTTCAGCAAGCAATTGCACATTAGAGTCCAGAAAATAAAGCATTATCCAATTTTAAATATGAGGACACTAAGAATAGAGGTGATCACACTTGCCTAAAATCATACCTGGTGAATGGCAGAACTCGGATTTGAATGATTAAGTTTAATGCCAGAACCAACATTGAGTGCCCATCTCTTCACATGTTATTTTGCTGGGAGCAAATAATTCCCTGGTGTTAGAATCCCCCAAAGTAAAGTGATTATTGTTGTTGTTAAGTGCCATTGAGTTGGTTCTGACTCATAGAGACCCTGTATGGGATTTCCAAGGAGCAGCTGGTGGGTTTAAACTGCTGATCTTGTGGTTCGCAGTCCAGTGCTGATCCTATAGCGCCCACCAGGTGTCCAAAGTCAAGTGAATGATCCAAGCTAGCTGACCAGGCAGAGGGCAAGGGAAAGTGCAGGGCTGTTTTGGTGGCTGCATTAAGCTAACCTGCCACTGCCACTGTTTCCTGGTCTTCACAGCACATGTTCTGGTCACATTTCCCTGTTTTTGAAAAAAGAAGGAAAGACAGAGAAACAAAGGAAAGAATAACTGTTTCTATGGTTCTCTACTGCTGTCAAGATCAAGGCCATATTTTCTTCTGATATTTAAGGCCATCCTTCACACAACATCCAAATTGGGCTCTGTGGTACTTCCCCCACCCCCACCCCCCCCTCTAACATGATTTTTGCTTTTTCTCTTTCATGCTTTGACTTTGTTTATGTTACTTTCTCTGTTTGGTGTGCTTCTCCACCCTCATCTCCACATAATCAAATCCCATATAAAGCTTATATCCATTATTTTAGATGTTCCTCTCTTTTGGAAATGATCGCTCTGCCCTTGAACCTACTAGCACTGGATCCCCCAGAACCTTGACCCTTTCTGCCATGAGCTGTTGGTATTTATGGACTTCTCTTGGTTCTCTGATGAACCCATCCTTTCCTGTCCCAGTGAGATGCACATGATAAAGTTCAAAGCATCACATTTATTTTGTGGAGATGACCTGCTATGAACCTAGAATTAGAAATGACTTCAGATAGAAAACTTCATGTCTGTCCTTAAGTCTTATAGTCTTTGACCGATACCTTTAAACCAAGATAATTTTCATAATCTACATATAGATTTCCTTGTTCTATCTTAATATATTTGGGTTGGAATACTTGTTAAGCCTGCAGGTCTTTGACCCAATTACATTCACCCTTCTGTACCTCCAGTCATGTTGATGTGGGTGGTTAAGGTGATGTGTTGCAAGTGAGTAGGGAGGTAGTAGTGTGAGTGGGAAGAATTGGGAAATACTGTAATCCTCGACAGACCTTTCGAAATCTTTGTTAACATGTCTTTCTTGATCTGGATGTTTGGGAACATTTCTTGACTTTCAGGATATAAGCACAATGCCAATTTTGTTGCTTGGTGCTGTTGAGTTAGTTCCAACTCATAGCACCCATATGCATAACAGAACAAAGCACTCCCAGTCTTGCACCATCCTCACAATTATTGTTACACTTAAGTCCATCATGGCTGCCACTGGGTCATATCCTTGAGGGTCTTCCTCTTTTTCGGTGACCCTTCACTTTACCAAGCATGATGTCCTTCTCCAGGGACTGGTCCTTCCTGATAACATGTCCAAAGTACTAGAGATGAAGTCTTGCCATTCTGGCTTCTAAGGAGCATTCTGTCTGCACTTCTTTTTTTTTTTT